TTATGTAACATAGTTGCACAATATTATTTAGCATTGTACTGTGAGGTAGCAACCTACAATCCTCTCTGTACCAGTTGTTGCCCTGCCCCTCTTGCCCGTCCTCTCCTGCTTCCACTTTTTGGCATCTGTGAATATTTATTGTCTGTACTAACCTATTAATTATGAATATTGACTTTGACAGTGTTATTCCCTTACGAGGGAATTCAAGGTGAATTCAACGTGCATTTTAAATTTAAGGTCAAAGTAGCCAAACTTTAAAAAATCTCAAATTAAGCTATACTTTCGGTTCATCTATTCTGGCCTTAAATGTTAAATATTTTTTTAATTCTTACCTTGGCAAATAACACTGAAATTGCCTAGCCCTGACCTAATTTTTCAGACTCTGAATATTTTTACTGTCTGTGCTTACCTTTGCTTGCATTTACTGACTCTGTTTCTGCTCTCTCCAATTACACCACTAGCTATCCAGAATGCTTAAGACTCTGTCTCCATATTCAGCCCCTATGAAAGTGTCCAAATTGCAGTGAGTTAAGCATTACTATGTGTCTGTTTAGGTTCACTATACTAAAGAATGTGTTTGCTTCCAAAAATACTTGCAGACCATGTGTTTTGGAAGTACCAAGATGGCCACAGACCAATATGCTACCTATAAATTTGGTATAACAGGAATCTCCCCCCAACAATATGGTGTTATACAACCCCAATTACATTAGCTAACAGACTTACTTTAACCCTAAAGCACAACAAAGCAAACAGAATTAATTGTAATTGATTTTGGCAGAGTTATATCCTAGCAGTTAACCCCCAACTATAACAATTACTTGGAAACTGGCACAAGTAATAATGTTTAATAAAAAAATGTTAAAAGGTATAAGAAATTAAAATAAACATTGCAACTGAACACAGACAGAGCATTACTACTGAATTAATTCATGCACTACAATAAATAAATAGCAGATATTTAACTGAGTGAATAAGTTAATTCAAGTATAAAAAATATCAGAAATGATACAGTTTTAATACTTATCCAAACCCAGGCTATCTTATGGTGATGATGCTAGAACACGTGAGAACAGGAGGGAAAAGCATTTCATTATTCTTGTATCTTTAATGTGTGTCTCTCACTCTTTCTTCTCCTCCAAGATAACACTATCTCACAGGCTAGATCCTGGGATTAAATAATTAAACAATTGCCCACTAAATTGCATATTCTCCTCTAAAAGCATACATTTCAGGAACAGTTAAACTGGTTAAGCTGCAAATTCCTAGTTACCAACACTTAAAGAGTAACTCCAGTTTCCAGGGCTTCAAGAGTAAACTCTTTTGTTAGAAATGTATACCATCAGTTACCAGGACTTCAAGAGTAACAGTTTTCCAGGGTTTCAAGAGTAAACTCGTTTGTTAGAACTGTATAGCATGAGTTATCAGGACTAGAGGAACAATTTCTTTGTCTGATACTAACCCATTGAGTGTTGAAAACTGTCACTTATCCAGTTAATAGCTGCTAAATGATGAAGCTCAGAGTCTATAACAAATAGCATTTCAATGTTACTCATATTTGTTGTCCATAACAGTGTGGACTCCTTCTACCAACGATTAAAGGTACCTCAGATACAGGTACTTAAAGATATACTGAAAAATCATAGGCAATCCTTCTAAACCAACTCTTCCCTTCCTTTACCTGCCCAGAACAGGCAGGTTTTGTCCCAGACAGGCAAGTGTCGGACAAAATAAGTTAAGTAATTGATCTCACTGAGGTGGCCAATCGCCAATATATCACTAGCTTATTACTTGTCGTTAATGCTGAAAAAGCTTTTGACAGGCTTAATTGGTCCTGCATGTCAACCACACTAACAAAATTCAGAATCCCCTCATCATTTAAAACTACCATATCTAGCCTTTATATGGTTCTAACGTTTGGCTTTCTCTCTGAGCCTTTTCCTATAGCCAATGGAACCTAACAAGACTGCTATCCCTACTAATTTTTATTTTGACATTAGAGGCCTTTTTGTTTACAAATTCAAAAACACCCCAACCATTACAGGAATACCCAGTATTATCAACAACACATGTTGTCCTTGTTTGTACTACTCACACTTACAAATCCACATACTTTCCTACCAGTCCTGTAGATCCTACTGGAATCTTATGGGACAGTACCCTACTACAAAAAAAATAACTCCAAAACCCAAGCCCTTATGGTAATCCTCCCCAGGAGCTTGTTACCTCTCTCCACAGTCTGCTAGGGATCTTATGTAGCTTTCCCCCCAAAAGCGACCATAACTTGATAATGCACTGCATCTCACACTTGATAACCTGAAGACATGCCCCTAATTTGTTGTCACGGTCAACCTTGCTATACTACTGCTATCCTTTCAATGCTTCAATATCCAACTCCAGATTTGCTCCTTTGGACCTGAGAAGGAGCAGGAGTGAGCAATGTAGTACAGCTATTTAACTGAGATATCTTTCCCAAAGCTGGCATTTACCTGCAACCTACAAACAAGAGCAATATTGTGCATCTCAAACATGTCTTGCAGACCCACAAGATTCAACCACCAGAAGATCCTATCCTCCCAGTAATCCAAAGATTTTCTATGTCTGCCACCTGATGTTACAACTCTCTCCCTCTGTTATTCATCAATCTCCAATGTGGCCAACTCTGCTTCTCCAAATTACATGGCACAACGGGAGAGAGACCTCCAATTAAAGATACAATCACAAGACTGGCTAAAAGCAGCCACCAACATTCAAGGAGTCTCAAGATGCACTTCCCACTGGGAGACCAGCAGGAAGGTACTCTTTCACTGGTACATAATGCAGCTAGCCTGGATCGCATTTATACCCCCATGTCTGACATTTACTGAAGATTTAAATCTTGAAAAGAATAACCATTCTACACTCCTCCTAGAACATTATAAAGCCTTCTGTACAGCTGTAGTGACCCTCATTATGCAAGTCATTCACTTGTATTTCCCTCACACCACAATGTCTTCTCCTAGACATGTTGCCGACCATCCTTCAACGTCCCATCCAACACCTAATTCTGTGTATCCTTACTGCTGCAAACACCATTATCACTAAACATTGCAAAGCAAACTCTATAACATCCAAATGATGACTGCCTTGCTCTCTGCCATCTGATACTTTGGGAAGATGTTGCACAGACTCCAATTGATGACTGCCTTGCTCTCTGCCACCCGTTACTTTGAGAAGATGTTGCACAGACTCCAATTGACGACTGCCTTGCTCTCTGCCATCCGATACTTTGGGAAGATGTTGCACAGACTCCAATTGATGACTGCCTTGCTCTCTGCCACCCGTTACTTTGAGAAGATGTTGCACAGACTCCAATTGACGACTGCCTTGCTCTATGCCACCCGTTACTTTGAGAAGATGTCGCACAGACTCCAAATGATGACTGACTTGTTCTCTGCCACCAGATACTTTGAGAAGATGTCACACAGACTCCAAATGATGACTGCATTGCTCTCAGCCACCCGATACTTTGAGAATATGTTGCGGAGACTCCAAATGATGACTGCAAACTCATGGCTTTAACAGGTATGGGCATCATGGCATGTCTACATCAAACAAGTATCTCTGCCACTCCTCTCCCACCCACCCTTTCTAGTTTAATTAGTTCAAAGAAGTGAGGCATAAACCTCACCATAAGTGGTACATGCCCTAATAATTAAGCAAGCTTGTTTAAGAATGACACAATTTACCTGTTACAATGTATTGATGTATACACTGTTCAATATATTGCCTGGTCTTTTTGTGTGAAATGAATCAAAATTTTATGTCAAGACAGGAGGCTTCATATTTGCTGTACTTTCTTTACTGTAACTCCCAGCAGCAAAGAAACAGTTAACAGTAAGTAAAATATTTAACCAATCAGAGTGTACAATAGAGTATGTCCAGTCATCAGGCTCCTCCCAGCTCCTCTTTCTTTGCTGCTAGCCTCCTAGGTGAGTCTATTCCAATAACAGCATGTAATCAATTTCTAAAAATATATATTAACATGGTTTAATTTATTTCTACTTCACCCAACATAACTATATTGCTTTATAGTTCATTCTGTAATTCAATAAACTATCAGGTCATTTTTACAACTACCCTTAAACCCAACTAACGTTTGAACCACTGTCTCTTTCATTAATTTACCGCCGTCTGCAACTTCTGTCACATCCTAAACACATCGGATTACTGACAGAGCCACGTCGGTAACCCAATCGCAACCTCTGGCCGGCTGCCAATCACGGGCGGTATCACCGCCTGTATTGCCGCGTTCGTTTCCCTACCGTCACCATAGCGATGGGTCCGTCCTCCCGCGACCATTTCCTTCCCCCTGCATTGTGCGGGCTTTTTCCCGCACTTCTTCTCCGCCATCAACGTCAGTTGCAGCTAGGTGATCTCCACGGCTCTCCAGCGCCTTCTTCTGATTAGTCAGGTAAGTTACATAACAAAACAATACATGTAATGCATACTTCTAATTAAACAGCACTTAGCTGGTACATTTATTTTATTAAAGTGTCTTCACTTTGTTTTACTTTAAGATTAAAACCATCTAAACTCTAAAAATCCTTGCATAAGAGGTTGACCCCCCTCTATACTAAATAATATTGTCTCATTACAGAGGGTGACCCCTTCTACTATATTTGTCTGCCTCATTATAGAGGGTGACCCCCTCTAAAAAGTATATTAATATTGCCTCAAATTTACCGAGGTTGACCCCCTCCACTTTATAAGCCATTTTTTGCCTCCTAAAGGGTGACCCACTCATTAAAGTGTACTACTTTGATTATTTCTCATTTTATTTGTGGGTGACTCCACACTCAATTGGTGACTGACACCATTCTTGATACAATGCTTTGCGTTACTTTGCCAAAAACAAGTCCACCACCTATTGAATTATTTATTCTGAAAAAAATAAATTAAAAAAATAATTTATTATATATTTTATATATTACGTGTGGTGACCTCACTTTACCGCAATTATGTCCGATTTGCCTGAACCAGCAGTCCCTGAGGAGCTCAAAGCTTGGCTGTATAACGCCATTGCAGACTCTATTCCAAAAGCCTTAGCAGTTTTCCATGACCAGTCAAAATCCACCTCTAGAGCCCCTATTGTACATTTGTCAGACTCCGAAGAGTCAAAAAGCTCAGAACATGAGGAAAACCCCCGCAAACACCCCTGGAAGGGCGATAGTGCTACTGCCGGTAAAGGCAAAGCACCGGCTAAAACGCCTAGATTATCCATTCCAGATACTTGGGATAATAACCCCAATTATAACCTGGACCCATTAGAGGGTTCCACCTCCAACCTGCAACTTCAAGTGATTGACGAATATTGTGCAGGGATTTTCCCTCTCACAAACTAAATGAACCCCCCTCTGACTCTAACCCCATTTCTGAGGATGTTTTTCTGGATATCCTTGGCTGTCCCCTATTCGACCCTAGGAACATCAAACACCCACGGTCAACTGAGTGGACCCCCCCAGACCACATTGCTAAATTTTGCAGGATGTGGCTGCGTAAGCCTGAGAGCTAAGTTAAGAGCAGAATGCCCATGACCTTTTATCCCAGACAAGGTAGCTGTTACCCCAGAATTTGATCCCTTGCTCGTCACCTTCCTATACAAATCCGGAAAAGATCCCTGTAAGGGCTTGGAACAAGGCCCGAAGGCAACTCAAGATAAGATGAGGGATATGGCGGGACTGCTTATCCAAATATTCAGTATTGCGGATGAGACTTTGGCAGGTTGCACTTTAGATGCGCACATGGTGCGTGAATGGGCACAAAGGGCATTATGCCTACTTGGCAACGCCAACGTAGCCATGTCAACCGAAAGGCGGAAAGCCGTCCTATACAAAATTGACTCAAAGCTCGCCGGACTAGGCACTAAAGAGCTTGGCCCTGAGGCACAAGGCATGCTTTTTTGGAGATAAATTTATTAAGGAGTTAAGAAAACATGTTGCAGTGTTTACAACGCTTACCAAAGCGCAATCCTCTGTACGCAAGGTGTTTAGGACCCAACATTTTTCCGGGAGAGCCAGCCATTACAGAGGCCGGTCGGCTGGCAGAGCTGCCTTCACAGGCTACAGGCCTCGACCTTCTGAACACTGGAACTCGGGCAATACCCGTTTCCACCACAAACACTTCTTCCCATCTTGTGGCTCTATTAGAGGACATGGATCTGCTTCCCTCCGCGGTCGCACTCCTGCAGGTAATGGACTCTCATTTTTCTCATATACCTATAGCAGGCCGATTAATCCATTTTCCCAACAGTGGTCTCGGCTCACACAGGACCTGTGGATCCTTCAGATCGTGTCTGGCTTCCACCTTGAATTCACAGAGAACCCAGTTCAAAGATCTTTACCTACCCCCCTCAGAATGTCTTAAATAGACGACATGTCCCTTCAGGTCGAGCTCGATGACCTAATCACCAAGGGTGCCATCGAACAATCCCTCAGCCCACGAGGTTTCGTGAGCAACATGTTTCTGGTCAAGAAAAAGTCGGGCGAGTTCCGACCAGTCATCAATTTAAAAGAGCTGAACAAATTCATCAAACACAGACATTTCAAGATGGAAGGCATCCATCTACTACGGGATCTCCTGTGCAAGGGAGATTGGTTCTCCCGCTTCAACCTCAAGGATGCATACCTCATGGTACCAATCACGCCAGAACACCGCACCTTCCTCCAATTCCATTGGGCCAAAACACTATGGCAGTTCACCTGTCTCCCCTTCAGACTGTGCTCTGCACCTTGGTGCTTCACCAAACTAATGAAACCGGTGATGGTGATACTCCGTTCACAAGGGATTCGGTCCATCGTCCATTGGACGATATCCTCCTTATGGCTCAAGAAGAGGAGACTCTACGTCTCCATACAGATATGACTTCGACTCTCCTCCAGAATTTGGGTTTTGTCATCAACCTTCAAAAATCTTCTCTAACTCCGTCTCAGATGGTACAGTTTCTGGGATTTCAGATAGATTTGATTCAGGCAGTCCTACAACTCCCTGCCACGAAAATCCAAACCATAAAAAAGGACACCCGAAGATTACTGGCTTCACCATATCTCCGTCTCAGGGATTTAGCCCGCACAATCGGATTACTCTCCGCCTCAATCCAGGAAATATTTCCAGCCCCACTACACTATTGGGCAATGCAACATTTGAAAACACACTACTTACATCGTTCAACATCTTACGAGCAACAGATTTTTCTCACAGACGAAGTCCAATTGGAACTCCACTGGTGGCTTCAACATTTGGAAGCCTGGAATGGAAGGGCTATCTTCGGCCGACAACCCAATTTCATTCTGGAATCAGACGCCAGCCTCCTCGGATGGGGTGCCACTTGCTCGGAACGTTCTACCGGAGGCCTCTGGTCCCCATCAGAACAGGCACCACAAATCAATTGCCTCGAACTAATTGCTGGTTCTTTCGCGATCCGCAGTTTTGCCAAGGAAGCGTACAACTGCAGCCTTATCCTGAGGATGGACAATGTCTCAGCAGTACGATACGTGAACCGCCTAGCTGGCTCCCGATCAAAGATGCTATCGGATCTGACAAAGGAATTGTACCAATTCTGCCAGGACAGGAACATCTCCCTTCGTGCAGAATATCTCCCAGGCTCCGACAATCTTGTTGCAGATTGGTTCTCCCGCCACTGGAGGGATTCCAGTGACTGGCAACTAGATCCACGAATTTTCCATCACCTGCAGGCTCTGAGAGGACCCATTAACCTGGACCTGTTTGCATCTCGCCTGAACCATCAGACAGACGCATTCTTCAGCTGGCTTCCAGACCCAGCGTGCCTGGCAGTGGATGCCTTCCTCCAACCATGGCCAACATCTGGAGCATATGCCTTTCCCCCGTTCTCCATGATCCCACGCATGGTACAATACCTCAGAACTGTAGCGTTACTTACCTTAACCGGGGGCCGGTCGCGGTCCTCTCTTCAAGCCGCGCGCGGTCCTGCGGCTGCACGAGCCGCGCGCGGCTCATCCAACTACTTCGGATGGACGGCGGGCAGTGACCGCGTGAGGCGGTCACGTGTCCCGCCTGAATCTAAGAGCGCGCCGCGAGTCTCGGGCGCGCTCTTAAAGGGACAGTGGGTGCCTAAATTGGAAAAGGCATCCCATTGGTCCCTGTCATGCCACACTCCCCATACACTTACCTTTTGGGGGCGTGGATGTGACAGGGACCAATCAAATTAGATGTTTAGGTATTTATACTCACCTTCTTCCCTTTGTTCCTTGCCCTATCGTGGTTTCTGTTTCAGTTCCCTTTAGCGCTTGTGGTGTTCAGTTGTGTTTTCTCGTATTGACTTTGGCTTCGTATTCTGACTTCGTTTTCGCTTTATCCTTATCTGTACTGTTTGCCGGCTTGCTGTTTTCCGTGTACCAGACCCCGGCTTGTCCTAGTTTACGCTGTCTCTCTGTGCCCTTGACCTCGGTTTGTTCCTGGCTCTGTCTTCTCTCATATACGTCAAGTCCGGCCATTCTAAGGTCCGGTAGACGTATCTCTCCTCTGTATTTGCCTCTGTTTAGCTGGATCCTGCGTGTAGGGGTATATTCTCGTTACAAGAACACAGGGCGTCACGATAACACTGGTGACCCCACTGTGGCGAACCCAACCATGGTTCCCCTATCTCCTGGAGATGTCAGCGGGCTACCCCCTACTCTTACCTGTCTCCTACAACCTCCTCAGGGACTCTTCAGGCAACTTCCATCCACTAGCACTACAAGGCCACCTCCAGTTGGTGGCCTGGAAGTTCAGGGGATCCTGGAGTGTCTCTGGCCTTTCGACTGCTGCTCGAGGACTCCTATGGGACTCTTGGGCCCCAGGAACAAGACGCTCTTATATCTCAACTTGGCAACGTTGGAATAGCTGGTGTTTGGAGAGGGACGTCAATCCCTTTTCAGCCTCTTTGATTAACATCATGAACTTTCTGGCATCACTCTTCAAACAGGGTAAGTCTTATCGGTCAATTAATGTTTTCCGTTCCGCCATTTCGACAGCTCATACCCCTGTCGACAACTCCGCGGTTGGCAAACACCCCTCCATATGTTGACTCTTGCGGGGCATCCGACTTGCGAGACCACCGGCTTCCAAATATAATCAATTTTGGGATGTTGCTATTCTGCTCTCCTTCTTAGAGACTTGGCCCTCTAATGAAGAGCTCTCTCTCCGACAACTGTCGGCCAAACTGGCACTACTGCTCTGCCTGGTATCTTTTAGAACACTTTTGGACATCAGAGCATTTGACGTCCATGCCATTGATTTTACCCACTTCTCCATTACCCGGCGCACCAAAACCAATTCATCTAAAGTAAACTACCCTTACTTCCACGACAAACCCAGGCTCTGCGTAGCTAGCTGCGTCCGACACTACATCCTTCGCACTAATGCCCTTAGACCACAAACAGGCCCCCTACTGGTGTCCTACATTCGACCTCACAAACCAGTGTCATGCCCCACGATTGTTCGTTTAAGTGGCTACTGACCCTAGGAGGCATCGACTCACGTTTCGGTGCTCATTCAGTGAGAGGTGCGGCTGCCTCTTCTGCATTTACGTCTGGAGGCTCCCTAATGGAGATCCTCACATCCGCAGATTGGTCCAGAGAATCCACCTTCAGAACATTCTATTTCAGACAATCCTCTCATGTATCTAATTCCATCTTATCATTGCTTTAAAACAGAAAATATGAAGCCTCCTGTCTTGATATAAAATTCGGGATTATTCTAGCCTTAGTGACTGAATAATCTAAAAGACAGGAGGCGAATATTTTCCTGCCCGATAGAACACGCACCCAACCCATCTAGGTAGGTATTCCACAACACCTCTATTTAATAAACCAATTATTTTTCGTAATCTAGGTCCCAGGCTACTCTTTATAACTACATTTACAGATAATATCCACATTACTTAAGACTTGTCAGTATATTTGGTGTACACTTTGGTTGGAAACATATCATTTAAAGTAATTAAGTATTGTTTTTCTTATCCAAGAAACCATACTTTCATGACCTCTCTCTCTCTTTTTTCCTAGTGTGAAAACCCTTCACTATACTCTCAAAGAATTACCTACGTTCTTTCCAAATCGTTTACATGGTTGACTTAATTTTGAACTGTTCATCGTTTTACCGTTTAGGTTGATTCTAACGCTGCATCAAGAAACAGGAGCTGGGAGGAGCCTGATGACTGGACATACTCTATTGTACTCTCTGATTGGTTACATTTTTTACTTACTGTTAACTGTTTCTTTGCTGCTGGGAGTTACAGTAAAGAAAGTACAGAAAATATTCGCCTCCTGTCTTTAATAAAATTTAGATTATTCGGTCACTAAGGCTTGAATAATCCCGAATTATA